TTGTGGGTTAAACTGCGCTAGCTTCGATACGTATCTTCCCATGTTCTGGCGGAAAATCCACTCTCATTTTTACCAGGTGGAAAGCGCAGCAGCCAGCCGCTGTTTGACTACGAATCTCTCCAATTTTTTTTGGCAGTTGACCTATTTTCTTTTTGGACGTTTGGTGAGTAGTGGAGCGTGACCGTGCGCACCGACTTAATGATCCTACAGGTCGCCATCGTCGTCGTGATTCTAACGCCCGTGGTAGTAATCCTTCAAGTTATTCTGCTCGACCACTAAGTTGCTCAATGTGTTTATCTGAATTGTCGTTTTAGCCTTGCTGGTCATCGCGATCACTGTTTTTAGCGTGATGGCAATCGAGATCCCGATCCTACTGCTGCACGCAGTCATTGAACTTGTTGATTGGTCCTTGTCATTGGCACCCAGATCGCCCTCCACGTCTCCGTGGAGAGGCGATCTTCCCTATTAAATCTCGTCATTTTTGTCTTCCCCCTTCAGTTTCAACTGACTGTGGTCATTCAGGTGGCCAGGTGCAGTTATGCGTAGAGGTACACGCTACGAGAAAAGGAGAGAACATACGTTAAGAGTCGAAGTAGAGAGGAAGTGAAGGAGAGCGAGAAACCAGTGCGTAATGTGAAAGAGGGTAGCATAGTAAGGTGGAGAAAGGGTAGCGGGTGAGCTAGACTCCACAAGGCAAAAATAACTGTATAGTAGAGTGAGAAACCCACCTAATTGTTGGTTGGTGACGAGTGATTCTCTATCCGTGAGAAAGGTGTATCCTTTCATGTTCTAGGAGAAGGTTCAAACTCATTTTGCACATTTTATTTGGTTGAACCTGCTCATGGTAACGAGTTGATGTAACTGAAATCGATTGTTAACGACAACACGTTACCCTGTCATATTTAGCTTGGATGGAGTAGGAATGTGATCGTGGTCAGGACGCTAACTGTCATTGAGAAGGGGGGTCTCGCTTACAATCTGCAGGGGCGGCAAACACATACTACTGTGACAATCGAGTTCGTTGTGATTGGTTGCCCGTCGATAGCATAACAATGCATTTCTGGTTCTGAATAACTTTCACCATCTGATGCTTGCTGTAGTCTTGCAAACCGGAGTTCTATAAGGAAGTTGAAGATTTCTTCGTGAATACTGATGCTCAAAGAGTGGGGTGTCGTCATGACGTAGACATGGGGAAGTACAATCGCTGCTTATTGAGCTTTTGTTGCGGTTATGTGTTTGTTGCTTGGTTCTGCGTAACACTGTTGTTGTGCCTTTGCTGCGTTTGTTGTGCTTTATTGAGTCCTTACTGGATATTGTACTCCGCATTGTTGCGGGACTGCGTTACTGTGCACAACTCTTGGGCTTGATGAGTCTATTGAAGTTGCTTCATTTTCACTTGTACGGGGGAACGTCGCTGCAACCTAGAGGGTTGTTAAAATGTAGTTGTTCTGTGTATTGACTGCAAGTCGTTCGTTCTTGCTACGTTTCTGACCATCATTGCGGGGCCCTCAGGCGCCTTCAGGTAATAAGACCCTCTCGTGTGAGTTGAGTTGTCCCATTTCTGTTTCTCAAGTGTGTGAAACCTTTTTTTTTGTCCTTCTTACTTCTCAGAGTCTGATCCTTGTTCACAAAGAAAGGTGACAGGCGAGATTGCAATCTGTAGGACCGCAACAAGGCCTTTGTGGGAGGTTACCCCACCGATTGTGAGAGCTCTGTCGGAGCCTAAGTGAGGTTTTGGAGGCAGAGAACTGTCAGATATACTTCCTCTGCTTGGTGTGAACCCATAGTACCCCTACCATTTATATATTTTTAGTTTCACTGAGAGATATGCATGTGTTCCCTTATGATTTTTTTTTTTTTTTTCAAGACTAAATCAAATTAACTAAAAGGAATGTATGCATGAATTTCAGTTTTTTCTTGTTTTGACTGAAATAAAACTAAAGAATGAACCGAGGGAAGGTGAGAGGAAGAAAATTTTGCATGTGTTTGACCGGATGAGCCAAAGACTGGACATTGTTTATAAGTTGAATAACCAGTGCTATGTTTATAACTTATTTTCTGTAGGACCAGACATTAGGTCTAAGCGTAATAACTTGATTTCTCTATTTATTTATGAGAGTTTGTCTATCTGATTGTTTAGACCAAACATTGTTTCTAAGCTAAATGGCTTAACCTACCTATTTCTTTTAGGTTTTCTGACTGAAGTTGAACATTTTTTTCAAGCCAAATGTTTCAACTTCATGTTTTTGTGTGACAAAGGATAGACTGAACATTGTTTCGAAGTCGAATGATTCAGTCTTTTGTTTTATTATAAGGGATAATTTTTGCGAAAGGTTAAGCAATGTTTGCAAACTGAATGATTTAACTTGAAGCCACACACTAAGCAAATAAGTATAATTGAAAATACTTCATCTATATTTGCATGTAAACATACAGTTGGATATTGTTTATAAGTCGAATGGTTCAACTTAAGTCATATCGCTAAGAGCATAGATAAAGTCAAGAGTATAATTGGACGTAAACTGGACAAGTTGTGACAGTAGATTGAAATTTTAATTAAGATATTTCATAAAATCGTCCAAACTTTTATTCCATCTTCAACAAACAAATGTACTTTTAAGGGAAAGCTCATTTTTAGACGAAAAATTCTGAAATAAAACTGAAAAATTTAGAATTGGAAGAATTTTTAAATGAAAAATTTTAAAATATGAAGAATTAAAAAAAAAAAAAATTGATGATGAAGTCTTCGCCCCCTAGATATTTATTATAAGACTCTCGTGTGACGCCCAACTATTTTTATGTGTCGGAAAGGTTATGGGTTGGATACAAAAAGGGACTAGGTGTGATTTGTGAGTGAAACTTGGTTTTGTTTTGGCGTGATGTTTCACGTGGTTAAACAGACCGTCCTAGTCGACCGACGTGGAGTCGCGCTTGGGACATTAACTCCCAGAGTGACCGCTCAGGCACGAGTTCGATTAAGGCGTGCGGCCTCGCTTACCCCTTATGCTACAGTATATGTGAAACGTCATCGGTTGGGCCACCTTTGCGATTGCAACAAAGTAGCTTTCGCACATGGTTCGGTAGCTCAACGACGATACATCTGTGCAAGGGTGGTGATAGCCCCTTGGGCGGCGGTAAGTTGTACCTCATGTGACCCTATCTTGTCGTAGGGGATTACGAGAGGTATTGTTGACGCACTCGATCGGAGCGGTAAAAGTTCCACCGCAAAAAAAGTCCTTCATAAATCATGTGTAACACGACCGAAAAGGACCCCCTGCGAGACCGATGCGCTCAACAATGCGAAGAAGTGGCGCGGTAACAAAATCGGAGGACTAATTCAGAATCTTTATTCAACGTGATCCGCAAAAGGGGTACCGGCGAGTCCAATCCCACAAGTTGTAAGAGAAAATTTTAGCGATTTTTTGTGCTCAAAAGAATTTGCAGAAAAATACGAAATTTGAAAGAATCTGTAGATTGGGTCATTGATATTTTCAGGAAAAATATAAAAAAAAAAATAAAATCATTAAGACAGCAAAATAATTGCCATGCCGATTTGGTGCATTTTCCATTTTTGCTACTCAGCCATGTGTGGGCCAACAGGAAAAAATCTCCAACTTCAGTGATTTTTCGTGCTCAGAGGAATGAGTGAAAAAAATCTGAAAATTTGAATACTCTCATATTAATTTTTCAGAAAAAAAAAGTCATTTCAATTGCGAAATAGATCGCGAACCTAATTTGACAATTTGATCCATTTTCTATTTTTGTCATTCAGCCTTCACCCCCCTCCTCGCCCCTACCCCTATCCCTCCCCGCCACTCTCTCTCTCTCTCTCTCTCTCTCTCTCTCTCTCTCTCTCTCTCTCTCTCTCTCTCTCTCTCTCTCTCTCTCTCTCTCTCGCGCGCGCGCGCAGGGTGTTGCGGCACCCCCACGCATGAGATGCACCGCAAGTAT